GAGCTGAAGGAAGCTGCGTGGGGCTTGCCTTACTGTAATCAGATAATTGCTTTGCTAGACTGCAAGCTCCTGTGAGGACAGCAGGGTCCAGGACATGGGGAGTTTACAACCAGAGGCCTGAGTTTCAGTCTTGGCTCTGCCACATCTTGCTGTTAATGCTGGGCAAGTTACGGGAGCTCTCTGAGCTTCAGTTTCCTACTCTGTAAAACAGAAATAGTAACAAAGCTCACCCTGCTCAATTTGCAGTTATTCCTGCCTAAGCTTCAGTTTCTTCCATGTGGCATCTCCAAACCTGAGATGAAACTCCTCTGTCCTTCCTGGTTTGGATTGCCCTGGGTTGTCCTTCCTTCACTGAACTGAATTTGTGATAAACTCTGAAGTGTTGCCCAAATGTGAAGGATGCAGTCCCATGATGGAGCACCAAGCTCAGGTTCTGGCCAGTGCCAAGTGAGATGAAGCAGGGAAGCAGCTCAGAATAGAGAAAGAAAACCCATTCCCTCCCTGGTGTCCAGGTGGAAGCAAACTCCACACTAAATTATGTTGCAAATATGCCCCAATGTAGTTTTAGTTTTATTGGCACTGATTTTAATTTACTCTTTAGGCCCCTGATTGCAAGATGAGCTACTGGCTGCTGGCAAGGGGACAACCCTTCATCATTCCATTTTAATTAAGGTTCTTAAGTTTGGAAGAAAGAACGGAGATGCTTTCCCCATCCCCCACCTTCTATTCTCATTCCCAAATTGTAATTAAGGGCCCTACATTAGTGACATACACCTCTTGGTCTGGCACAGCCACAGAAAAGTACCTGGTTTTACTGTTGGAAAATCTTAAGATGCATTTGTTTATTCATTAATTTACTTATCCTTCTACCAGTCCATTTTCTTATTCATTCCTTTGTCAACATTTAATGATGACCTACTATATGCCAGGCCTTCTTCTGGTCCTGTGGATTGAAAAAAAAATAAGCAGTGTAAGATCCCTGCCCTCAAAGAGCCCACATTCTGGAGGGAGATAAAAACAATGGGTTATTATGTCATATGGTAAGTGCCATGAGAGAGATATATACTTTGAATTATGTGAGCACAGAGGAGGCTGTTAACTCAGCCTAGGGATAGAGTAAGGCTTTTTCAATTGAGATTTTTGTACTAGTCAAGACGAATGATATTAGCTTCTATAATAAACAATCCCCAAATTTCAGTGGCTTACTACAGTGAAGATTCACTTCTCTCTCATGTTATAGTCTGATGCAGATTAGGTGACTCTCCTGGCTGTTGTGCTCTAAGTGTTGAGTTGAGGACATAGGCTTCTTTCTTCTTAGGATATCATCATTATTTACATGTAGCTTCCACGCAGAAGGGCAAGAGAGAATGTGGGTGATTGTGTATGAAGAGTTTTATGGGCAGGTCTGGAAGTTTTCGTTATTGCCCACATTTCATTTGATCCCAACCAAATGGCAAGGGGGATAGAAATGTCAGTGAGGAAGAGACGCACGATTCAATAAAAATGTGTTGAAACAGTGAAATTTAACCCTTACCTCATATTCCATGTCCACATACGTTGAAATTGAAACAAAACATCAAAAAATACTCAACAAAACAATAAAATGGAAGCAACAGTGAAATAATTCAGCTAGGAAATCAGAAAAGAAAAGATTGATAAACTGTATCAAAAATCAGCATTTAAAAAATTCTACGTGGAAAAAATGCATCAACAGAAATAAAATAAAGAGACAAATGACAAAAGTATCTTTATCCTACACATAGCAGCTAATTTCTATAATAGCTCCTCTAAATCAATAAGAAATAAAGCAAACAATCTAATTTTTTAAATGGTAAAAGGAAATTAACAGAGTTCTTAGAAAAGAAAATGCAAATTATTTTATTTTTTATTTTTTATTTTTTTTGAGACGGAATTTCACTCCTGTTGCCCAGGCTGGAGTGCAATGCGGTCTCAGCCCACTGCAACCTCTGCCTCCCAGGTTCAAGCAATTCTTCTGCCTCAGCCTCCCAAGTAGCTGGGATTACAGGTGCCCACCACCACGCCTAGCTCATTTGTTTTGTATTTTTAGTAGAGGTGTGGTTTCACCTTGTTGGCCAGGCTGGTCTTGAACCCCTGACCTCAGGTGATCTACCAGCTTTGGCCTCCGAAAGTGCTGGGATTACAGGTGTAAGCCACCGTGCCCAGCCACACGTCGTTTTTAAACCTAGGAAAAGATGCTTAACTATACAGTAAAAGACAATTATATAGTACTAAGAGAAATTCAGATTAAAACTAATCTTAGATATTACTTTTCACCCACCAAATTGGTAAATATCAAAAGTTTGATTCCACCTATGTTGTCAAGGTAATAGGCTAGGAGTGTTCTGGCCCTTCTAAGCTCAGTCTGTCAATATTAATCAGAATTGCAAATGCACATGAGATCCGAAAATTTCACTTCTAGTAATTTATTTTACATACAATTGTATATGTGTGAAATAATGTATATAAAAGTTCATCACTAAGACATTCTTTATAACAGGAAAATATTGGAACTACCTTAAATGTTTATCAATAAGGAACTAGTTAGTTTATATATGGGTGTTACAAAGAATGAGATAATTCTTTATGTAATAAGAAAAAATTGCCTCTGAGATATATTCAGAGAAGATAAGCAGATCTGAATGGTGTGTTTATGTCATTTCTATTTTAAAGGGGTAGATAATAAAAAAAAAGATAAAAATATGAATGGTGTGTTTATGGTGCTACCACTTGTGTGTTTGGAGCAGGGAGTTTGGGTGTGAGAGGAAATATTTACTTGTATATGCACAAACTAGCTTTGGAATGATACATGCAAACCTGATAACATTAGCTACCTCTGGGGAGCAAAACTGGGTGACTGGTAGAAGGAAGATTTTTTTTACTATAAATTATTTTAGTAAATACTTTATTTACTAGGTGATGTGACTTCACTTTAAAGAATCAGGTGTTGGTTCTTTAAAGGGAAGTCACATCAGTTGCCAGGTGTCAGTATGGGACAGTGGAAGCCATATCTGTATGGTTATCGGGAAAATGAAACAAAATTATACTTCTACCCACATAAATTTATACAAATAATTTTTTTAATTTAATTTTTTTAAAAAAATTAAAAGCAAAAGAAAAGCTAGTTTCGAATTCTTGCTTCTTCACTAACTTGCTTGCCATCCTTAAGCAAGCAACCTCCCCACTCGCAGCAGATCTGAGAAAGTTCAGAGAAACTGGTGTCCAAGGCTGTCCATAGCTCTGACATCCAGAGATATAAACTGTAGCTATTCCTTACCCATTTCTTAAATCATCTTCCTACCTCCTCCTTTCCTGTGCAGCTCATCAAAAGCTCAGAGGAAAAGACAGACAATTGAAGAAAATAAAATTGCTAAGATGACTTTTATAGGGCTCCTGTTGAATCACTGTATATTCCACCTCCAAAGCTGAAAATGATGAGTTTAATATCACACAGAGCAGTGTATCTTGTATCTCCCAAAAGACAGCTTATGCTACCCAGAGAACTGGGAGCTTGGCAAGACATAATTTTTTACTCCAACTCTGAGGCAAATGAAATGACAGTCATTGAGCCCACATTCTAGAAGCAACATGGTTTTCATTTGGTTTTAACTTCATTTGAAAGCATCCCAAGGAGGGAGAATCCTTCTAAATGTGCACTTTTCTTTTTTCCCAGGACTATATGCTAGAAAGGGGACAGAGAGCTGGCCAGGTTTTGCCTTGGCTGTTTCTAGTGTGGGCCATTGATGACAATAAGTTAATTGTGCAAGGGGGCAGGGGGCCTGAGTGTCGGTCCCAGTTATTCCTTGAGCTTGGGCACGTTCCCTCCCCATGTGCGTCTTCCGTTATTCTCAGAAAGAATTAATGGATATAATGGGCTGATACATATATATAGGAAGGGAAGGTTGGATTTGAGGGCCATCGAAGATCTAATGGCCTAAAAATTACCCCATTGTCCACATCCCCTGGTTTAGCTAATCCATACAGTATGTGGAGCAATCTCTCTGGGATTGTTTGTTCAATCATTCTGCATGTGGTTACTGAGCATCCTTTACTTATCAGCACTGGGCTCTTTATAGACAATCCTCCTACCTTCAAGGGAGGTTAAGAAATAATATCATATCAATCAAGAAAGTGCCTTAAATCTGTGTAAATAAAGAGCAGAGGTAGACTAGCCAATGCCATCTTTACAGACCGCAAAGGGATTTTCCTTCATGCATTATTTATATACTATTGTGGAGTAGACATGGCATCATGACACAAGGTTAACTAAAAGAGTTCACTAAGACTTCATGTGTAAAGTTCCAACAATGGTGTCTGGCATGCATTATATATATGGTAAAAGACAATAATTATTATTTTTTATTTATATCACGACATCATTAAGCAATATGGTAATTATCATTGCTGTGTGTGATTCCCACTATAGTGCTCTGAGGTTTGAATTAAAATACCCATTTTTCAGATAAGAAAGCTGAGGTTCAAAGTGGGGACATGATTTATACCAAGCGTCCCAGCTAGAAATGGCCAAGTTGGGGCAAAACTGCAACCAGGACCACAGTAAATACAATTGTGTTACCTGGAAGGTATTTCTCATTAATCAGAGAAATAAATTCCACGAATGTCTAGTCATGAATGTGTTAGCTGTTCTGAGTAAGTAACATCATGACTTAACCCAACGAAAATTTCACTTTTTCTGAAGACTTCTTAAAAGGGATGCTAATAGTAGTGATTTCAGGCCCTGGGGGAAAACCATGTTAAAAGTGAGGAGAAATTGATCCTCACCTGTCTCAACCCCTCCCCTCACATTGCAAATGGCTGCTAAATCTGCTGACACACAGGGTCTTGATGCGTGTGTATATGTTTGTGGTGTGTGTGTGGGGTGTGTGGGGATGTGTATGTGTGTGTGTGTGGTGTAGTGTTTGGTCCCTTTAAGGCAAGCTCTATGGCCCATACATCTCATTTGTTATCCTTTCTCTCAACAGAAAACAAGCCTGGAGTTTTATATTGACATCCACGCCCACTCCACCATGATGAATGGCTTCATGTACGGCAACATCTTTGAGGATGAGGAACGGTTCCAGAGGCAGGCCATTTTTCCCAAGCTCCTCTGCCAGAATGCTGAGGACTTCTCCTATGTAAGCCAGGAGTTCTCTCTCAGCCAGCCCCAAGCCCCTAGACCACACTTCCTGTCTTCCTTCTCACTCAGTTCAGTTTGCTTTAAGCTCCACGGGACACCCTAGTCTGTGCCAAGTCTTGTGTGGGTGATGAAGACAGAGGTAAACAAGATATGCCCATGTCCTCAAGCTGTCCATCACCAGTCAGGGAGGGAGACTCTTAGAGAAGGTAGCATTTTAGTTGGCCGATAAGCTGGCATGTGTTTTTGTTTCTGGGCTTTTGTTTTGTTTTGAGATAAGATCTTGCTCAGTCAGCCAGGCCAGAGTGTGGTGGTATGATCATGGCTCACTCAGCCTCCATCTCCCAGGATCAATCCTCCTACCTCAGCCCTCTAAGTAGCTGGGGCTACTGGCTAATCTTTAAAAATTATTTATTTATGACCAGGCACAGTGCCTTACACTTGTAATCCCAGTACTTTGGGAGGCTGAGGCGGGCAAATCACGAGGTCAGGAGTTTGAGACCGGCCTGACCAACATGGTGAAACCCCATCTCTATGAAAAATACAAAAATTAGCTGGCAGGGTGGTGCGTGCCTGTAATCCTAGCTACTCAGGAGGCTGAGGCAGGAGAATCGCTTGAATCTGGGAGGTGGAAGTTGCAGTGGGCCGAGATTGTGCCTCGGCACTTCAGCCTGGGCGACAGAGCAAGACCCCGTTTCTCTCTCTATATATATACATTTATTTATTTAGTTGAGACAGGGTTTCTCTCTGTTGTCCAGGCTGGTTTCAAACTCCTAGGTTCAAGAGATCCACCTGATTCAGCTTCCCAAAGTGCTGGGATTACAGGCATACTGTTCCCAGCCTTGATTAATGGAGTCTACTCCAGCTTTAACAAGAAAAGGAAACTCACTGAGCACCTACCACGTGCCGGACCTTGCCTCAGGGTCTGCTTTTACCAATCCCAGCTCTTTTCGTATGAGCACAACAAATCTGCTAACAGGGGTTATATGCCCACCATTCTTTTCTCCATGACTCCTTCTCATCCTCAATTTTTTTGTAATTGCTTGGTGATAATTTCTATCCTGCCTGCATCATAGCTTCCTGGGAGGGCAAATGCAGTTTTTGATATAAAAGTTCTTTGCAGACAGTAAAGACCTGAACAAACTCCAGAGATGGTTGCTGTTACTACCCACCTCTCATGCTGAGGACTGGAGAGGCTGTGGGTTGGGAAAATCACACAGCAAAAGCAATACTGGAAAAGGGCAGGAAGAGAAGAGGAGGAGGGGATCAGCATGTGGTGTAGGGGGAGAGCTTTTGCACATTTTCCTTTGTTTTGATACTAAATCTCTGTGGCCCGTTATTTCCATGTGGCCAGAGGGGCAGAGGCCCACAAATTTTTGAAGTTGATGAGCTGAAAACTCACCTGCCCATTGCTTCAGGCCAGGACCTTAGTGGAGATGATGAATTTCTCTGTGGTAAGATGCATTCTGAATCCCAGAACTTTTGAATGTCAAACTAGGAAAGGAACTGGCAGATTATTTAGTCCAGTCCCCTCTTTACACCTAAGAGTAAAGAGTAGCCCCAGAAGAGATGAGTATCCAGTATAAGGCCACCCAGCATTTAATGATAGAATCAAAGCAGGTGGCTCCCCATTTGCAGCTGTGGGACAGAAACAGCCATGCCTTTTTCTGTAAGAATCTCTATAGGATGGCCCTGTCTATTTGAGGCCACTGCAGTTTCAGAGAAGAGAGTAGCCTCCTTAGTCCCAGTTCCCTGGAAGGCTGGGTCATAGGCCTCAGAGACCTTCCTCACACAGGTGAGGTTTCCAGGGACTACAAAAGGGGCACAGTCTGGGAGCCTTATTACTGGGCTTGCCTGATGATGTTTCTGCACTGCAGCCTCCTTAAGAAGGGGAGTCAAGGTCATCTGTCCTAGTCCAATCGCTGTCCTCTTCTCCCTTCCCTTCCCTTTTCCCTCCCCTCCCCTCCCCTCCCCTCCCCTCCCCTCCCCTCCACTCCCCTCTGTGCCCAACTCTAAAACAGGAGAGTTGAAGTTCACTACTTGGATTTCAAAGGTCTTTCATCTCTAACAGTCTATGATTTTCTGATTTTTCCTTTACTTCAAAATACACACACACACACACACACACACACACACACACTTCTTTGTTTCTTTCACAGTTTTTCTGTGTCTTTCTTGTATTGCTGTTTACTTCATCTCTTTTCCTTTTTCCTTTATCTCCTACTGAATAAGAGAATTCTTGTTAAAACCATATTCTGTTCATTTACTTAAATTTCCATGGGTTAGCATAGAATGCCCTTTTACCTTCAAGTGAACTGACCCTCACAACTCTGTGGAAGAGATATTATTGTCACGTCCACGTTACAAATGAAGAAACTGAGGCTAAGACAAATAAGTCAACTTGCCTGATATCACGCAATCAGTGGGTAGTAGAGCATGTCTTTAAACAGACGACTTGAGACTGATGTGCTTGTTCATTTCTCTCTCTATCCACTGTGATGGGTGCTGTCACAACTTAGTGAGGAAGCAGCCATGATCCCTACACTCTAGTGATTCTGGTCGTGAATCAGCTATCCCTAAGGGAAGCAGAGTCTTTGGGAGTCTGGAATCACTTAGTTCTGGATTCAGATTTGTTTTTTTATCACTTACTTGCTCTGCCTCTATGAGTCTCAGTTTCCTGATCTGTAGAGAGACAAAATGTGAACACCTATTTCAAGTGGTTATTTTGAAGCCTAAATGAGACACTGCATGGGAATCAATATTATAAAGTTGAAAGCACTGCCCACATTTTAAGTTTGTTTTTTTTTTTTTTTACATTTTTTTCTTTTTAAAGAATAGAGACATGGTCTTACTATGTTGCCTAGGCTGAATTCAAACTCCTGGGCTCAAGCAATCCTTCTGCCTCAGCCTCCCAAGAAGCTGGAACTACAGGCGCACGCCACCATGCCAAGCTCCAAATGTTAGTTCTGATTATCATCAAAATGTAGTTGCTTCTTTTTCTCTACTTTTTCCTGCTCCCTGTCTCCATTCATATTTCCACAAATATTCGTTGAATGGCAGTTACTGCACCTCAAGAACTCTGCTTGCAGCTGTCATTAATTATGTTTGTTTATGTAATCAGTCCTCATAATAATCATGTGACAAGGGGCTAATATCCCACTTTTCAGACGGGGAAGCTGAGGGCCAGAGGTGTTGTGAAATTTGCTCACAATCCAATTGCCAGCAGGTGCCCTGATTCTCTCTTCCCGACTTTGTCTTTTACAGTCCAGCACATCCTTTAACCGGGATGCTGTGAAAGCAGGAACTGGCCGTCGCTTCCTCGGTGGACTCCTGGACCACACTTCCTATTGCTACACCCTAGAGGTCTCCTTTTACAGCTACATTGTCAGCGGCACCACAGCGGCTGTGCCCTACACTGAAGAAGCCTGTATCCTTGGCCCGTCTTCACCCAGCCCTGGGCCAGCACCGCTCCAGCCCAGAGTATCCACGTCTGACAGGTCAAGAATTAGGCCCCCAGCTCAGGTAAGGGCTGAGACGCTTGGGTGAGGATGGAGGTGCTGGTTCTGCTGGTGGCGTCTTTGGATTGTCCAGTTTGTTCCAGCCCTTAGTATGACACCCCCACCCCGATTGCCATGCTCCAAATCTTTTCCAGGCCACCAGAACCCATGGCCTGCCCACACCGTACTAATTCCATCTCTCCCCCTCTCCTCTCATGATGCAGTGAGTCTTATGCCGTCTAAGCTCTGCAAGTCTGCAGGCTGGATGACCACCCCTGGGTTGCTGAGGAAGAGCTTGATGATCTTGACTCCTCTAACCCTGAGCATACAAAACCGTATTTTCTCTTTTCATCGTCTGTCTACCTGTCCTCTCCCACTTTCTCTTCCCTTTACTCAGTATTTTCCCTTATACTTATTTTTCTCCCCCATGGTCTCTCTTCTTCTGTACCTCCTCCCTCACCTGTCCTGTGCTTCTCTCTTCTTGCTTCTTTCCCACTCTTTCCCTCCTTTTCGTCCTCTCTCTCACCCATCCCCCGTTCCTCTCTTTCTCTCCTCTTTACCTCTCTTCTGTCTTCCCTAACTTTCCCCCCTCATTCTCTGTGCATCTTTCTGTCTGCCTTCGACAAATTCCTTTTCCTCTTAGTTTCTTCATAAAATTAGTCTGAAAACTCCCAAGCCAGCCATGATGAAATTAGAAGTTATTTTCTAGAGGGATTACATAGTAACTCTAGTTTCCTGAGTGTTAATTTTAATGTCAGGGTCACCGCATCAGAGCTGTAACAGATCGCGGTCGATTCTGCTTTCCTGTATCTTTTGTTTCAGGTTGACTCATGTCTCCTTTCCTAACACTTAGTTTTCTCAGAGAAAGAATTGCAGTGGAGGGAGGAGGAAGGAACTTCAGATGAAACGAACTCTGTATTGATGCAAACTCCCCCTCCCTGGAAGTAGAAGTGTTCTTTTTAGCATTTTTTCAACACCTGGTGAGTGTTTATGGAGTTCCTTTCATACTCTGTGCAGGAAAACTTCTTTTCTGAAAGTGGCATGACTTAGGGCTAGTCCCACCAGCCAAGTGAAACCCAGTGGCTCTGTTTGTATGTATGCGTATGGGGGGGTGGGAGGGGTTATGGTGTCCAGGCAACTTGCCAGAACATGGGAAGCAGGGTGATGACCCTAGAAGGAGGGGCTGGCAGGGGGTAGGCTGGGTGTTAGAGCTGTATTCCAGACCCTGTTGGACATGGAGAGATGATAATTGGAACTGAGAGATCCCTCTCTGCAGTCACCAAGACCGAGTGTCATCTTGCAGTCTGTTTTGATATCCACCTGACTCAGCAAGACCAAGGGCGTAGGCTCTGCTCTGAGGAAGAGGGTCTGTGGGTTCTAAAGTCCTGGCCACCTGTTATGTGCCACACTGCCCTCTCCACGCCCCATACACACATTAGATGTATATGGTCTACGGCTTCTCCAGAATCTGCTAACTCCTATAATACATGCATATGCTTCATTCTACATGGTGCTTGCTTTGCTCTCCCATAATATTATGACAAAGGGACAGAGAGCAGCCTAGAATAAGAGTTAGAGGTTGTGCACCAAAGGGGATTCTGCAGCCCTTATTCATAGTGAGATGAGGGTCCCTCCAGAGGAGGCCTGCGCTTCGTTTGTTGTTGTTTTCTGCTGTCCAATCTGACAGGTTCTCCTACCCTTTCTCAGCACTTCTGACATGCTCTTGTGTTAGAAGAAAATGTGTTTCTTAGTAGAAAGCCCACCCTTGATTTAGGCCCAAGGTTTCCACCCCTCAACAGCTAACCCTCATTTATCAAAAGTAAACACATCATTAGTACATACCAGGAATCATAAAAGGCACCTAGGGTAAAATAGTGAATAAAAAGGCATGGTTCCTGACTCACAGAGCTTTCAGTCCACTTGGGGAGACAGAAAAGGAAAGAGACCATTACAATGTATATGATAAATTCTGTGGTGGAGGAATTCCAGAAGGCTATGGAACATTTTCATTTTACAAGTATATATTGAGTTCCTGCCATAGATCAGGTAAATTTCTAGGCCTAGGGAATGTAGTAGAGAGTATACTAAGGACAAGAAGGTCTTTACATGGGGGGAAAAGAGAACTTACACACAATCCTGGGAGTCAGGGAAGATTTCCCAGCAAAACAGATGTCTAAACTGAGTTTTTAATATAACTAGTCAGACTGGGTTAGGGTATTGTTGAAGGGAGGACACGTTAGACGGAGAGGGGAGGATAGAAGGTGTGGGCAGGAGCTGTAAGTGGTCCCTAAGGCTGAAGGACTTCATACGCAGTGATAAGTCTGAAACAGAAAGCTGTAAGGAGTTTGATCTTGACTGTAGACAATGGAGAGCAATAGAAGGGTTTCTAATGGGGAGGAAAGGCCACTCTGACTGTAGCGGAAAGGACAGATTCGAGGGGACCAATACTGTAGGCAGGGACATGCATTAGGCTGTTATAAAAATCCAGGTGAGAAATAATTCAGGCCAAGACCGGGGTGGTGGCTGTGAAATATTTAGAATATGGAACTGAGAAGAGGAGGTAATTGACTATATGGGAGCGGCAGCAGGGAACAGGAGCTCGTGACTGGAAGCGGTTAGGGTGAAAAGAGAGGCTGTGCACAAGCTGAGCAGGCCATGATGCTGATGGACCCACCCTGCCTGGTTCTGTCCTCCAGAGGATGAGAAGAGGAAACAAATTGCACCAGGGAAGCTCAGGCCAATTCAGTGCATGCAAGGGTGATTTAACTTGGGTTCTGTCTGAAATACTGGTTTAAAAAAACTCTCAGTTCATAACTGAGGGAGACTTCAGGCAGACAGATTGTGATCTTTGTTGGCTGCTGGCTCCGTGTCCCAATCAAAAAAAGAAATTACATGGTCTGGTGGGAAAGGCAATATGGTCTGGGAGAAAATGTCCTCTAGACTAGGAATCAGAAGACCTGGATTCTGATGACAGCACCAACATTATCCCAGACAGCACCCTCCAGCCAGTCCTCTCACCTCTCTGAGGTGAGCTTCCTCACCATTACAAAGGGACCAAGGACCTTCACACATGTCTAACCCCTGCTGTGGGAATTAAATAGACATTCATTAAAAACATAGATATGGTATTATGCAAACAGAACAGACTTTCAATTCAGACATGTCTGGGTTTGAACCTTGGTCTCACCTACTTACTAGATGTGTCTCCTTGGATGAGTTGTGTATCCTCACTGGGCCTCAGATAGTTTCCTGATCTGTAGCAGGAGGACGTAATAATACTTAACCTCACTGAGTTGCAATGAGGTTAAATGAAATAGCTTGTATGAGTGTGCACTGTAAACTAAATATTAAGAGACGTTGGAAAGGTTTATGTGAATGTGAATGAGGATCACTGTTTATGTGAAAGAAGATAGATAGGGCTCTTAGAGCAAGAGATCAGCGGCTGTTGTTAGGGTGTGTAAGGCAAAGGGCATTGGTGGGGTCATCACAGTTGAGAGTCTTGCCTGGACCACAGAACAATGACTGGTTCACACCGTAGGAGATATGCAGTTCCTTGACGGGGTTTCTTGTTTCTGTCATCCAGGGTGCCCCCTTCCTAGAATCATAGAGGCCAGACTAGTTATAGAGGATACTAGATGAGTTTAACATCAGGAAGGCCTGGGGGACTCAGAGAATCCCAAGGGATATTTCACCCAGGTCCAGAATACTGTCCACCTCCCCACAGATCAGAGCATACGTGTCGGTTAGTTCAGTTTTCTCCTTGGAAAAGCACCAGCTAAACGTGACCAAGGTTTTGCTCTCTGACTTCCCTTCTCCACTATATCGGGGAAATAAAGCAAGGGACATGGTTGCTGATGCTTACCTGGCTGTGTGACCTTGGACTGGTTACGTCACCACTCTGAACCTGTTTCCCCAATAGTACTCACTTTGCATGGTTATTGGGAGCATGAAATAAGGCAGTATATCTGCATTCTGCTGGTACTGCCAGGCATCTGCTAGGTTCTCAACAAATGTTCTTGTGTTGACTTTTCTTAGCCCCATGCAGCCTACATGACTTTCTTTCTCTTGGTTGAATCTTTAACTTGACAATCTGGCTTTGAAACTAGCAACTAGGGTTTGAATTCTGACTCCACGTGATTACGAGTGACCTCTAGTGTCCCTTCTCTCAGCCTCTGTGTGTAATACTTCCTACCCATAAGAGTTTTTGGGGAATAAAATTTTGTGTGGACTTGATCACTGTTCTAATTTCTTCCAGCTCTCACATGCTAAGATTTTCCCGATTCTAAAATGTACATTATATAATTCCATGCTTAGATGAGTTGGCACAATAATCCATAAATTATCAATACTCCATATTATCAATAATCCCTAATTTTTTTCTTAAGTGAATTTTAATATTCAGTGATTCCATGAGCGTAAGAGTTTCCAAATTTAATAGGGAAAATCAGTACAAAAGTGTCCTGGGCAGCTGGTCAGGCCAAGACAATAGCTATTTTCCTTCTTTTAGTTTAGGGGTTCTTAACTGAGGGACTTATAGATGTCTTCAACAAAAGCCCATGAACCATCTAAAATGTATGCAAAACTGTGAGTAAATATGCTTAGTTCATTTTTTGGGAGGAAGGCCCATAGCTTTTAACAGAACCTAAAAGAGACATCCTCAGAGGCTTCTGCCCTGGATGGTGACCTCTGAGCCTCTCTCCTGTCCATGTTGGGGCAAAATATGGCGCAGGAGTCAGAGTCCTGGGTGTGAGTCCTCTTTTGCATCTTTCTCACATAATCCCATATTAACCACTCTGAACCTCAGTTTCTTCATCTGTAACATAAGGATGATTATTTACTTCACAGGGTTGGGGTTAGGGCTACATAGGAGAATACATGCAATAAAGCACTGGACATACAGTCTGTGCCATTAAGTATTAGGTCTCTTACC